TTCCTGCGAGCCTAAAGTCGCCTTGGGAGACATCCAGGGGTGGTGGGTTTGGCACCGGGTGATGAACATGTCCCATCCTCTGGCCATGTTCGTGTAGTGAACATGATGATGAACCATGGGATTTGGGTTGCTTTCCCATAAATTTTCAGACAACAGCAGTTGATGAGGACCCAGCTTGGTCGAAATTTCTTCAGCATTCACGTCGCTGGTCCACAACGTTAATCCAGGTGGGTACGAGTTGAAAATCTGGGTATAGTATGGTATAGTAAACAAAACAATAGAAAACACACAGGAAAGTAATTTGCTGTGAGTTGAGTAGGAAATTTCTGTTCTATCTTTTTGGGTGTTTCCAAAAAATCCTAAAATTAGATGGTGAAGACTGTGTTCACCAATATTGCCAAGAACCTGCAGTTCCCCTTTTGGGGTTTTAGGTTCTGACCTCTGGCAATTTGCTGTTGTGCATTTCTGCGTGTGTGACGGTTTGTCAATGGCAAAAACGAGAAGTTTTCCAGAACAACAGGGCAACTCATGATATTTTGGGGTCCGTCCGCGCACGCGAGAAGAAGTGGTACTTCGGCGTAGTGGATACCGGTTTTTTGATAGTTCATTTTTCACTGGGGACCCAGCCTGAGGATGGGTATCCATCCACAGCCTCTTCCGTCACCGAGCTAAGTGCAGCAAGGCCTGCGACTGCGGATGTAAAAACCTACCTTGACACCAAATACGTATAGTAAACTGCCTGTATGTTCATATTTGTGTATATACTGCATACATCTGACGGTTTCTTCAGATGCTTTCTCCTGGTTTGGCTGCTAATTCGTGTTTCCATTCGTGTTGCTTCATGTTTGGTCATAAAAGAGACTGCGTCCAAGGCCTGCGGGAAAAAAAAAGGGCATGTCAATGAATTTTTAACCCCTGTTGCTGCTAGTCATGGAAGTGGAAGAACTGTCCGCCATCGGTGTTTTTTGTGTGTTTCGTTTTCTTCATTTTTCATGTAGTTCTCTTAATGTTTTCTTCATTATCTATGTTGTTTCTCTTTCAATATTATGTTCCTCTGTTTTTCTCTTTTCTTCTTCTGTTGTTTTAAATCATGTTTTGTGTTTCTTCTTTATATATGCTTTTTTCCTTTTTCTGGTTCTTCTGTGTTTATTTCCTCCTCCTCCTGCTTCTGCTGCTTCTTCTTCTTCTTCTGCTGCTTCTTCTTCTTCTTCTTCTTCTAGCAGACCCGGTGACTGGATCAGCGAAAGTTGTTGTATTTATTTGCTAGCAGATTGCTTGCAGGAAGCTAGCATGGAAGTTCGTTATCAAAAGAACATGGAATGTACAGAGCCGAAATACACGAACAAAACAACTAGAGTAAATTACTGGATTTGCTAGCTGTGCCTTCCAGAATTGCTGAATTGATGTAGTTGCGTGCCACTGCATAACGAAGAGGAAACTCAATACCTCCACAAGAATACTCAACCATTGATACAAAGTTTCGGATGCCTAGTTAAAACAGTGGTATATTATGGTAGATTTATACCTGAGGCCCGGGGGGAGAGGTGGGGAATGTTTGGGTCCATTTCGCGCGGGTGGCATTCCCGTCAAAATCTACAAAATCTGGGAAGTATATAACTCTTCTATATTTACTTGTTCACTCCTTTAATCCTCGTGGCTTCTGGTTTCTTTCTCCTTGACTTCTTGGTACCTTTATTTGCTGTATCTTTTTGCGCCAGCATGTTAAAAGGAAATTGTTTTTCTTCATGTCTTCTCTATTTGCTCTATTTATTACATCTATTTGCCGTTGCTGCGGCGGAGGGTTGGCTCTTCCAGGGAGTTCAGGCAAAATGTTTTCAGCTACGTTTTTACTGTTAGCCTTCTCTTCTGAAACTTGTTTGCTATCATTGCGGTCGAAACGCTGCCCCTGCAGGAGTGATGAAGCAGATCCGAAAAGGTGTTTGACATAATTATCGCTTCTATGGATGCCTGTCACTATCTCCTCCTTCTATTACTTGGGTGGAGGGTTGGCTGTTTAGGGGAGATTGGGCCAAATATCTTTTTGCGCCATCACCTTGATCCCTTTTAATTCACGTCTTGTCTTTCCACTTGCACTTCCTTCCTTCCATTTTGAAAAAGAGACCCAAAAAAGACCGCAAACAAAATGATGTTCATAGTTTTGACAAAAGAACATAAAGAACCTAAAAACATTGCTTTGTGGCATCCTAGCTACTTTTTTTTGAACACGTTTTAAATATGTAGTTATATAATTATGTGTGTTAAAAAGAAAATGCGTTGTGTACCTTCATATCGTGTGAGAGGGGTAATTTCAAAGCAAATCAGCTACTAGTTTTCAAATGTGTTTCAATTTTCTTTTTGGAAGGGGGTGGAAGGGCTAGATGGGTCTCCTTTAGGCAGTGTGGTTATTGTTTTTTCTCTAATACTACTCTTCCTTTACATCTCCATGTCCTTGTTTGCTGTATGTACATATATATATATATATATGAGCCCGGTCCCCGGACCCCCCACACCCCCCCCCCCTCCCCCCCCAATGGTATCCCCCCCCACTCCTAACCCCCCCCACCCCCCCAAAACCTAGTATTTGCATGTTATTTGCACATATACATACACATATACACATATATACTCCCCTTTCCACCCCTCCAACCTCGCATCTCTACGTTATTTGCAGCACTTGAGAGCCACGACCTCGTCAACGGACCTTGTCTACCTGTATATTTCTATCATAACCTTTGTCTCGAACCGCCTATAGCGTGCCTCGCACATGGTTTACAACATATTTGCTACCTATGGATTACGCAAAGCTTACCTATGCAAACCTAGACATATGTACAGTAGAAAAACAATAAATATATATATATATGCACATTCTAGATACTACATATTGATATCTTGATCTTGTATCTATCACATATTTCGTTTACATTGCACATACTGTACACGTATATATATATATAGTACATATATATATATATACACATGTCGGCCAAGAAACCATTCCTCCAGCAACAATCGGCTTGGCTGCTGAGAAAACCCCCCCTCCCCTACCACAGGGGGGGGGGAACCATCTGGCTGGGGGGGGAGGGGTGTGGGGGTCCCTGCTCATATATATACACTTGTTTGTGTAAGTATTTACTTATTTAAAACATCTTTGTTTTGTTTTTATTTTGGTTGTTGATGGGGTGGACGGATTACTCCAGTGTATTTATATGATAATTGAAGTATCTGGATTCATTCATGTGAAATCACATCTGCAACCAACCAGTTGATGGCTACATCCCAATTTTGAATAGCCATTCCAATCATATCGCTAATATTTATTATCTATTGGTAAGATGTTTTTATCATTATCCCATTAGCATCCATAATATATTATATATATGTATATAATTATATATATACCATTAGTATCACATTCTTGGAATAGTTAAGTCCTTGCCGCATCTAAATTTACAGTTTAAGTTCTTCAGTTCAACGCTCAATACACACATTAGTTTGTTCAAAAACGAGGTATACCTATGCCAAAATTGAGCCAAAAAGATGGCAAAAGTAACAGTCGGACAACCCATTGGATCTTAGGCGTTTCAGGTCAACTGTTTCGAGTCAAAAAACATGCTTTTTGTGCCTGAAAACACTGGCATCCCCCCAATTCCATTTGTCTTTCATGATCATTCTGTCTCAAATGGCAGGGTATCGGTCAGAGAAACTGATAGAAACTACATATTGTTGTATCCCCAGTAGATCCCAATCATATCGCCATTCCTCTTCAATCCCCATTTTTTTCCATGGCTAAATCCCCGCTTTCCGGTGTTTTCTCAACATCTCGCCTGTTGGGAACGCTGACACCTCAACTTCGGATTCGGAGATGGTCGGGAGATGTTTCCCAGTCCTCGCAGTGATCGTGACATTTTTCTCTTTGTTTCCAGGGACTAGACTATACAGACACATATGCATATATAAAAACATTGACATAGTCACAGACATGTATATTTATATATTTATACAAGTACAGTGTATACATCAACACGTATACAAATAATTACAAATCATACGGGTGTCCAAACAATCATAGAACATGGAAAATTCTGTGGATGACCACTGATGCAATGACTTGGGTGCAATTCCAGCCTCCAGTTGCCAGTTTTGATTTCGTCAGGGTACACAGGAGACATTGCAACGGGAGGCGACAGCGAAATGAAGCATTCACAATGGTTTGCTATGTTTTGCTCACACTGTTCCATCCGCAAAAGAAACTAGATTGAATCATGTTCACGGGAAACAGTTTGAAGATTTGCCAAGTCGACAACGTTTGCATCAGCCATTGAAAGATGCATCCCACAAAAAAAAAGAAAAACAATTAGCACCTGCGGGCCAGAACGACTCCGGCCTGCACTCATGCACAGCCAATGTCTGTCTGTTCGGTTTCCAATACAAGTGTTTTGGGTTGACGTCATCTTCAATCTCACGGCTGCAACCCAACCGTTTGAAAAAACGACCAGTTTTCGAAAAATGTTCCGGAGTATATTTCATGAATAGGCATCCATGCGAAACCACGTCGAAGCAAACTAACTTTAACCATGGCTAGAAGTTGAAATAAAATGACAAAACACCTCATGATCAGTCAACAGAGCTTCTTCACAAAATGCAATATGTTGTTGTTGTTCAAAAATGGATACAGAATAAAACGCACAAGTAGATTTGATCCATGCTATGGGTCTGCCAGGAAAACCGTTGCAATCAAGAATGATCCATCCAAGTCTAAGACAGATTCAGGTACCCTCGCGTTTGATGTTTTCGAATTGCTTCACTGCCATGGGCAGGGAAAACTGTTTTTTGGTGTTGGGTGGGCGTGCTAGGTCCTGGCCATGTGCACATAGCGCAACAATAAGCAAACCTAATGATTTGGGGCGGGTAGTGCTATGGGATCAGTTCTGCCAAACACTGCGATTTCCGTTGCTACCAACTCCACCAACATGTTGGCCCGGCCGGGTTCCCCGAGCCATGTCGTTGATTGTGCGAGGCTTGGACCAGTCAGTGACGATCCGCGTGATCTTCTTCCTGGTGGCCTCGCAGCAAGAACCCAGCCATCCCTGCCCCGTGGCAACAAGGCCATGACGCAATTTGCAGAACCAAGCGCCTTCGGCGGTGCTTGAAGTTTGGCAAAGCGGACATCGAAGGCTTGGGAGCAGCTTTGGATTGTGGTCGAGTTCGCACGGAAAAATGTGCACCAGACTGTGGGGAGAGCTCGATTTCACATAAAAATGATTAAAAACTGAGGGTTTCAGAGGGGTCGTTGGATTTGTGTGGTTTTGCTTCCACTAACGCCCAGCCTCTCCTCCTCTTCCTCCTCTTCCTCCTCTTCCTCCTCTTCCTCCTCTTCCTCCTCTTCCTCCTCTTCCTCCTCTTCCTCCTCTTCCTCCTCTTCCTCCTCATCTTCCTCTTCCTCCTCTTCCTTCTTCGGCTGTTTTCCATCCAGTTCTTCATGTTGTTGCTCCGGCCAGCCCCTAGGATGCTGCATGTGTCCGTGATTTTTTTAATGTTCTGCTGCCTGCCCGGGGCAATTGTGAGCTATACCGCCCAGGCTTTGCGCCAACCAATCTTTACACCAACTACCTTTTACACAAACTAGCTTTTGCACAAACCAGCGTTTACACAGACCGCCAACTAGCCTTTACACAACTAGATGTGACGCAACCAGCTTTCACACAGCCCACTGTTATTTACACCAACCTAGCTTTTACACAAATTAGCCTTTACACAAACCAACCCTTACACCAACTATCTTTTACACCAACTAGCTCTTGCACAAAGTAGTTTTTACACCAACCAGCCTTTACGCAGCAATTTAAGCGACCAGCCTTGATATGACCTATTCTTTCTTCCATGCCCCCCTAGACCCTGGCTCGGCTCACCGCTCGGCTCAGGTGGATGCAAAGTTCAGGCCATGTTTCACCGGCGTTTCACATATTGAAACGTCGACATAGACATGGCGCAGCTTGCTGTAGATGTCCCTAATAAAATGAGGTTGCTTGACGTGTAAACGTAAGGGCGCCAAAAAGCGACACACAGTAAATTTGGGGGCCACAACTTGGTCAATTGCTACCGAAAATTGGGCAACATTACATCCGAATTGGGCAATCCATCTCTCATCTTGTTTCCACCCAACTTCGTAGATGCAACCTGTGTTTCAATACTGTTTGTGAATCTGTGAGCTTTGGTATTCCTTGCCTTTCAGCGTCTTTTTCCAAACTGTAATCGGTTTTTGGGGCAGAAGTTCACCTTCAACTGAACAAGCCTATCCACATCTCACGGTATAGTTCAACAAAACATAGCATACAATAATGCACTGCATTCATTTTGATGTCTCTTTGGGCAAGTGAAGAGGACTCGACAGGGCAGAGCGTTTAGCAGCGGAGTTGCTGCTAAACCTGGAGGACAAGCCTGGTAGCATTCAGCATCCCAAATCAAAAACACATATGATTCATATGATTTGATTTGGATTTCCATGTGGTGTATCCCCATTAAACCCCCCATGGTTCAATCAGGTTTAATCTACAAGTCTACATCACAATGACACAGAATCCCAGAATTGGCGGATGTTGGTGGGATGTTTGTACAGGAAGCCCCATGTTTGGGCTCTAACACCATGAATTCCTTCCCTTAAATCAACCCAGTGACTGGAGTTCCAAAATGTGACGTTCAATCGACCCAATCCGAGATCTGGGATTCAAGGTATACGGACGTGTTCACTAGGCATGAAGATCAAGCACGCAATTACTTCTTAAGACATGTTTATGCCAGTCAATTCAAAGGGTTTTCCATTTTGGGACCATTTTGGGACCATTTTGACACCATTTTGGGACCAGTTGTTGTGGTACCGGTGGAAAAATGTGCCAAACTGCGGTTTGGATTGGGCCTTGGAGTTCCGAACCCATGTTCGACACATCCCATTTCGGGCGATTCTGTATGTCCAATTGCCGAAGATCCTATCATTTGTTTGACTGTCGATACACTGTTTCTTATGTTGTTATTGTTGATTGGAAACAAAAACTAAAACGCCACTTGTTGCTGAAAGATCCCACTATCATGTGCGACGTTTGCAATGTTCTATTTCCCAACCACTTTGAAAACTCAGTTGTGTATTTTTTGAATGTCTACATTAACGTCCCTTCATATGTATGTATGTAATTTATGTATGTATGTATGTATGTATGTATGTATGTATGTATGTGCGTATGTATGTGCTTATGTATGTATGTATGTATGTATGTATGTATGTATGTATGTATGTATGTATGTATGTATGTATGTATGTATGTATGTATGTATGTATGTATGTATGTATGTATGTATGTATGTATGTATGTATGTATGTATGTATGTATGTATGTATGTATGTATGTATGTATGTATGTATGTATGTATGTATGTATGTATGTATGTCTGTATGTATGTGTCTGTATGTGTCTGTATGTGTCTGTATGTGTCTGTATGTGTCTGTATGTGTCTGTATGTGTGTATGTGTCTGTATGTGTCTGTATGTGTCTGTATGTGTCTGTATGTGTCTGTATGTGTCTGTATGTGTCTGTATGTGTCTGCATGTGTCTGTATGTGTCTGTATGTGTCTGTATGTGTCTGTATGTGTCTGTATGTGTCTGTATGTGTCTGTATGTGTCTGTATGTGTATGTATGTGTATGTATGTGTATGTATGTGTATGTATGTGTATGTATGTGTATGTATGTGTATGTATGTGTATGTATGTGTATGTATGTGTATGTATGTGTATGTATGTGTATGTATGTGTATGTATGTGTATGTATGTGTATGTATGTGTATGTATGTGTATGTATGTGTATGTATGTGTATGTATGTATGTGTGTATGTATGTATGTATGTACGTCTGTCTGTCTGTCTGTCTGTATGTATGTATGTATATGTATGTATGTATGTATGTATGTACGTATGTATGTATATATATACACACTTATGTATGTATGGATGTATGGATGTATGGATGGATGGATGGATGGCTGTATGGATGGATGTATGGACGTATGGACGTATGGATGTATGGATGTGTGGATGTATTGTATGTATTGTATGTATTGTATGTATTGTATGTAGTGTATGTGTTGTATGTATTGTATGTATTGTATGTAATGTCATAAAAGGTCATGTAAGGTCATGTAATGTCATGTAATGTAATGTCATGTCATGTCATGTAATGTCATGTAATGCCATGTAATGCCATGCAATGCCATGTAATGCCATGTAATGCCATGTCATGCCATGCCATGCCATGTCATGCCATGTCATGCCGTGTAATGCCATGTAATGCTATGCACTGCCATGTAATGCCATACAATGCCATGTAATGCCATGTAATGTCATGTAATGTCATGTAATGTCATGTATGTGTAAGTCTGGTCTGTCTTGCCTGGTGGCCTGTCTGTCTGTCTGTCTGTCTGCCTGTCTGTCTTGTGCTGTTCTGCTCTGTTCTCTGTTCTTCTCTGTTCTGTTCTGTTCTGTTCTGTTCTGTTCTGGTATGGTATGGTATGGTATGTATGTATGTCTGTGTGTGTGTGTCTGTGTCTTTGCCTGTGCGTGTGCGTGTGCGTGTGCGCGTATGTATGCTCCGGGAAGATGTTGTGGCAATGATGATTGCTGCTCTGATTGCTGCGATTGTTCAGACCTGAATTCCAAACTGAGGAAGTTGAAAACAAGGTAGGGACATTTTGCCTTTTGAAGAAACTTCAGATCACTTCCGGCGCTGATATGTATATGTACATAATAGTATATATATATATATACATGTTGCAGTATTGAATACATATACATTCATTTGCATGTGTAGGGGCTGGAGGTTCCCCAGAAGTAGATTTGATTTTATGTGGGTGATAATTAGAACATGTGATTTTCTACCGTGTTTTGGACTGCTTTTTGCCTCGAGATGAATTCGATTTTTGTCTGCGTTGGAAATTGGAATTGTTTGCTGCTTTATGAGTTGCCGAAAAGTTAGATCTCGAATTTACCAGAATTTGGGACTCAACAGGTTGTGTGGTAGCAATGATTAAACATGGACGAAATGAACACCGGGCTTGACGGCAGCATGGACTCGACAGGAGGTTTTCGACGAACATAAGATGACAAATGTTGCAATGTTCCATCATGTCCACAGACAAGCAACATTTTGAACGTAGCAACAAGACAGGCAACATCTTCAACGTAGCAACAAAAAGCCAGCAACATCGTCAACGTAACAACAAGACATTTGCCACAACATCTTCAATCTAGCAACAACTTTCATCAAGCACAGCCAGCAGAATGTTGTTAGCCCCCTGCCACCCCCCCAACCAGGCAATTTTTACATCGGCTAATGGACATGGTTCCCAGGTTCGAGTTTCTCTACATGGCCGCTTCATTTTTTTGGCAACTCCCTGACGTTCTTTTTTTGGAGGGGACATCTCACGACGGTGAAGCCGGCCTTGTTCACATCAAAAAACTTGAAGTCCATGTTCTCGTCAAAGTGATTCCTGATGGACTGGAAAAAAGGATCCCGCGGGGATTTTTTCTCAACCAGATGCACCGACCTGAATACATTTACCGGTTTGACCATCATTTGCCCAACTTCCCTACGCTCATCATCAACAAGATCATCATCCGTCATCCAAAGCAATTTCTCATGAGAATGAGTCATGATTGTCAGTCTCACCGCTCCCACCAACACCATCTCGTTCTGATTCTTGCCATCAGCCCACTCCACAAGGCAGCAAAGTCCTATTCGACTTGCTATCAACAGTTTAGACATGATGTAAGTATATGTTTATTTATATGTATATGTATATGTGTATGTGTATGTATATGTGTATGTGTATGTATATGTATGTATATGTATGTATATATATATATGTGTGTGTGTATGTATGTATCTATATCTATGTATATGTATATGTGTCTATATGTATCTACATGTATCTATATGTATGTGTATGTATGTATATGTATGTATATGGATGTATGTGTATGTATATGTATGTATGTGTATGTATGTGTATGTATGTGTATGTATGTGTATGCATCTGTATCTATATATGTATCTATGTATGTATCTATATGTATCTATATGTATGTATATGTATCTATATGTATGTATATGTATCTATGTGTATCTATATGTATGTATATGTATCTATGTGTATCCATATGTATGTATATGTATGTATATGTATCTATATGTATCTATCTATATATATATGTATCTATATGTATCTATATGTATCTATATGTATCTACATTATATACGTGTATATATATATGTACATGTTTGTATATGTATGTGTATATATCTATATACAAAAACATACATATCCGACATATTCTCCCTGGACAAACCCATAGATATCATCATTACATCCCACTACCCTTTTTATGGTTGATTAAATCGAAGATGGATTGAACATACCTCGGGAGCGTAGGAATCCTTTCATGAAGTCGCTCTTTAAATGGCAAGGGGTATCCTTGGCATGTGGTCTGTTGAAATGTTTCTTGTGGGAAATCGTCCAGATATCCCCAGCCAAACCGAGCTGCTTCCACACTGTGCCGCTCTTGATCAGCTTGTTGGGTAGTTTGCCCTGCCAAGGATGTGGAACAAATGGATATCATCCTCACCAAAAAAGGATGCCAGTTAAGCAAATCAATCCATCCAATGCGCACATACACTGTGTATATATATATTGCATAATATATATATATATAGAGAGAGAGATATATATATATGTATATTCATATGTGTCAATATAAATTGAATCATGTGCGTATACATATACATGTGTGTTTGTGTGCGTGTACATGTGTGTATATACATATACAGATTGAAACCTACAGGTATACAAGAATGTGTGTGTACATTTCTATATATATATACCCTCGGGGCCCCAGGTTTCCGCAAGGGGTGGGGTGGGGTGGGGCATGTTAACGTCATGTTCATGGTACGGTACGTTGAGGGGTGGGGTGGGGTGGGGCATGTTAACGTCATGTCATGGTACGTGATGGGTGGGGTGGGGTGGGGCATGTTAAGTCATGTTCATGGTACGTTGATGGGGGGGGGTGGGGCATGTTAAGAAGTTGAGGTGGGGCATGTTAACGTCATATTCATGGTACGTTGATGGGTGGGGTGGGGTGGGGCATGTTAACGTCATGTTCATGGTACGTTGATGGGAGGGGTGGGGTGGGGCATGTTAACGTCATATTCATGTACGTTGATGGGTGGGGTGGGGTGGGGCATGTTAACGTCATGTTCATGGTACGTTGATGGGTAGGGTGAGGTGGGGCATGTTAACGTCACATTCATGGTACGTTGATGGGTGGGGTGGGGTGGGGCATGTTAACGTCATATTCATGGTACGTTGATGGGTGGGGTGGGGTGGGGTGGGGCATGTCACGTCATGTTCATGGAACGTTGATGGGAGGGGTGGGGTGGGGCATGTGAACGTCATGTTCATGGTACGTGGAAACTTTGAAAAAGAACATGTTGCAGCATAAGAAAAAGGGTGACTATCAACATGTCCCGTTTCATGCTAACATAAGAAAATGCAAATACCAATAAAAAAAAAACAGCCCTTCATATTACACCACGAGCGGCAGTAAAAACGGTACTTTTCCGCTTAAAAAAAACAACGACTTTCATGAAATGTGCTATTTCGTGTGGGAAAACAAGAAAATCAGAAACTTTGAAAAAGAACATGTTGCAGCAGGCTGATGAAGTTGAAGCAACAACGAGCAAAAAAAGGCTGACTATCAACATGTGCCGTTTCATGCTAACCTTAAAATTCACTGCAAATACCAATAAAAAAAGACACCTCTTCATATTACCCCACGTGCCGCAGTAAAAAAAATGACAATTCCGGATAAAAATAACAAAGAAATTCATGAAAAGTTGTATTTCGTGTAGGAAAACATGAAAATCACAATTGACATGTACTGTGGATAACACGTCATAACATGCAACTTGCGCGGGCCTAAAAATTTAGCTCCGTAACATTGTCATTAAAGAAAGAAAAAGAAGAATGTGCAAAATCAACATTTCGCTGTGGCGAAACAATGATTTTTGACATATGGATCAATGAGAGCCAAGATACTCTGCGGAAACCTAGGGCCCCGAGCGTATATATATATACACACACACGTATACACATATGCATGTAAATATGGACAATATGTATGTGTACATATGTGTATGCGTGTATGTATATATATATAGAATAGGTGGAACACGGTTGAACTGAGTTGCCCAATTGCTTGGCGTATTACTTCTAGGGTTGTCACCACTCTCCATCGACTCTGGGGATGGCTCCAAAATGGGGGACTCGGTGGACACGGCCACTGTACAATCAGCATGTGCAACCCTGTCTTGCGTATTGGGGTTGTGACTTCTGGGAAATACCAACTACTGTCTCTGTTCCAGAATGGCTTCGCAACCGGCGAATGAGCCTGGAAACCCAGTTCACTCAACGGGATGCACAGTCAAGCCCCATTTCCCCAACGGTATAGGCCACTTCTGGAGAAACCCATATGATGTCGTTGCTTGTAAGAGCAAGAGTCATAACTGATCATGCACTCCATTTATCCCCACTCATCGTGGTTGTACCCCGATTGCTTTGGGCAGCCTGAATCATACATTTTTTTTTATTATATATATCATATCTCTGACTTGATGCTCACTATATTTATTATCGCCATTTCCAGGAAATTGGCATTAATATTCAAAACCCATGGTTTCCATTTCCATAAGAAATATCAATACAATAAACTGAATGTTCATATCTACATCGATTTGCTGGAGTGTATCATGGGAAAGTAATCTAGAACTGAAAAAATATACGAGGAAATTTACCCTCTGGTAAACTAACATAACTATGGAAAATCACCATTTTTAATGGGAAAACTCACTATAAATGGCCATTTTCAATAGCTACGTTAAATTACCAGAGGGTACAGTTTTATGGCGTATTGCTGGTTAAAACCCATATCATACCGGTGGATATCCCAGTGATAGTGTCCTCTTTGAATCCCCATGATATGCGTCATCGCCTTGACCTCCATGAAGAGACGCAACATGTCGTTGTTGGTCCTGCTCAGCGAGCACGGCACGGCAAGTCGCAGTCGTAACAATGGGCTGATGTCCAAGACCACGACAGGTGAGGATCTCTATCTATCGATCTATCCATCCATCCATCCATCGATAGACAGATAGATAGGATAGATCGATAACTCGGCAGACGGATAGATCCATCGATCGATCGATCGATGGATAGATCATGATAGATCGATAGGTCGATAGATCTGATAGGATAAGTTAGATAGATTAGAGTAGATTAGATAGATTGAATTAAGATGACGATTAGATTAGATTAGAGTAGATTGGATTAGAGTAGAGTAGATTAGATTAGACAGATAGATCGATAGGTACATAGGTAGATAGGTAGGTAGGTAGATAGGTGGATAGGTGGATAGGTAGGTAGCTAGGTAGCTAGGTAGCTAGGTAGCTAGGTAGCTAGTTAGCTAGGTAGCTAGGTAGCTAGGTAGCTAGGTAGCTAGGTAGCTAGGTAGCTAGGTAGCCAGGTAGCCAGGTAGCCAGGTAGCCAGGTAGCCAGCTAGCCAGCTAGCCAGGTAGCCAGGTAGCCAGGTAGCTAGGTAGCTAGGTAGCTACGTAGGTTAGGTAGGTTAGGTAGGTTAGGTAGGTTAGGTAGGTTAGGTAGGTTAGGTAGGTTAGGTTAGGTAGGTAGGTAGGTAGATAGGATAGGATAGGATAGGATAGGATAGGATAGGATAGGATAGGATAGGATAGATAGATAGATAGATGGATGGCTACGTACATATATAACGATATACATAAAATATGGATGCGTTCATAAAATATTTAGTCATTACCATATGTCTGTAAACGATGTCACATCAAATCATATAGTATGGTGTCATGACATGCGATCTCATGTCATGTCATGCATGCATGTATGATCGATCAATATATACTAATACAACATGTTTAAACAATACATATGTATATATATATACATTTTATATCATATCATATTATATTATAATTGTAATTATACTTAGATTATATTATTTTATTCTATTCTATTGTAGTACAGTTTAGCATGTTATATTGTATATAAATTACTGTATGTTATGTTATGTTATGTTATATTATATTATATTATATTGTAATATATATATACGTATATATTATGTTATATACACATGAACGCATAGATGCCGTTTGTGTACAAATAACTACTTGATGAGAAAACTGTTTCTGCCTGCCTTCGTTGCCAACTATTAAGGCGATACGATTCAAGGGTTGGGATTTTTCACTCGCAATGGGAGGAAAATCCCCCATTTATGGACGGTTTCCCCGCTGGCCATATTGATGACCTGACGATCATTGGGACTTCACTAAAAATAGAAATAGCACTGTGCATCAGGATGCAAAACAGAAAATTCGATGGACTGGTCACTAGAAGCTGGAGACCAATGATCAGGAGCTCCAAGTCCTTCACCCAGGATTTGTGGGAACCCCCGGGAACCCGCGCTTCCCAGGGAAGAGGATCTTCCCGGTGAAGAGCTCGAAGAGCGTACATCCCATGGCAAAAACATCCAGTGGGTAAGAGTACCTCCCAGCCACGGGTGCTGAAGCTGTTCCTTTCCAGGGTTGGAATCTAAGTTTTTCTAAGTTTTAAACTGACACCAATCCGAAGCATCCCGGTTTTTTCCACATCGTTTTGTTCATGGATTGCGTCGGACTCACCACGACCGCAACCCACTTCTTTTTCTGTGCCAAGAAAATCCTTCGCGCATTGGCGCGGTCTGGAGTCGCCCCAGCATGTTGTTGGTCTACCCGATGGGGGCCCTGTGCTTTGTATTAAGTGCTGGGGAGGAAACAACCTGGTAAAGAGGGTCTTCGGTCAATGAAATGAGTGACTGCTGAAAGGGGTGCATTTTGTGAAGGTGCAACGGGTGTGTTTGCTCGCACCCAACCTTTTGGTTGGAAACCAGGGAGTAGCACGGAGCAGTCGAAAGTGCAAGCCATCCATTCGTTTTAGCTGGCGCGTGTCCACTAAATGACAGTAGGTTATGGAGTGGAACATATGTAATTAGTTTGGTTGGTTGGGCTGCGCAGTCCGAGATGGATCGCCCCTTTGAGTGACCAAAATATTCAACACTGTTGAGGAGACGGGAATTGTGGCGATGTGATCAGTGGTGGGAGCTTGCAAGGACTCGATTGGCTTGACGTGACAGTCACACTTTACCTGAAAGTTGCTATGCCCTCAATGGTTTTCTGGTTTTTATTATGGTTTTGTCAATGGGGTATACCTCCAAATGGCAATTGAATAAGGAAAAACGATGATAAACCACTGGATTTTTGGGGTACCATGAGGACTACCCGGCTACCCAGGGGCCTCTGCTCCGCCCCAAGCTCCGCGCACTTTGCTGCCAAGACAATCTCTGGGGCCCGGTAAAAGCGGGACACCAGGTAGGGGGTGGGTTCCACCTGCAAAATCGGACTGGTTGTCACTGCATGGGGCCCATCCAAAGGCCCATCCAGTGTATTCTCGGTGGAAACGAAAGCTTTTGCTTGTCTAGAGTTCAATTGAAATTAACAATAGGTGGCTGAAATAGAAGGTTCTCTATTATATATTTAAAAGTTGTTTCTTCCCAGGTTTTCCCTCTTTTCGTATTTGTCATTGAGTACGGTCAAAATGAGATGCCCCAATTTCTTTTTCGAGCCAGGAGTTGGCCGATTTGGTTGATTTGGTAACCCCCTCAAACCACCTTTTTTGCAGTGACCCAATGGTTAAGACATGTTGTTGGAAAATCCTCTCTTTGTATAGAACAGTATACTATCTAATATTAAATATCATATCAATCATATCATACTACATTATATTATATTATATCATATCACTTTATACCGTGACTATATTTTATCAGACTATATTTTATTAGAATATATTATACTATATTACATTATATTATATTGCAGCATATTATGATATATTATACTATGCTATATTGTGCTATATGACCATACTTTATCATACTATATTATACTATAGTATAGTATGCTATTCTGGATTATACTGTATTGAACTATATGTATTTATATATTATAATACATTGTAAAATCTTATGCTATATTGTACTATATGTTGCTGTATGTTACTATGTATTCCTATTTTATACTATATTATACTATATCATACTATATATTGTACTATATTATACTATATATTATACTATATACTATACTATATAGTATACTATATATTATACTATATATTATACTATATATTATACTATATATTATACTCTATATTATACTATATATTATAATATCTATTATACTATATATTATACTATATATTGTACTATATGATACTATATTTTGTTGTATTAAATTGCATAGTAGTAGTTTGCATTATATTACATTACATTGTGTTATATTATATGACATTGTATTATATCACAGGACATTGATTTTGTTATATTATCCTATATTATCTGCTATTATTTGGAGGGCTGGATGAGGGTTCTCGCTCGTTTGTGGTCTATCTCAAACGAAGTGTCTGTCTCAGGGGTGTTGCTTGGATTTGTGGTCTGATGTGTTTGGCACCAGATGTTCGCTCCTGCAGCTGTTTTCCTTGGCTCATTCGGTGCTTGTCTTTCCTCCACCTTTAACAATGGTGCGGCCTCCAGCCTTGACTCTTTTGCAGCTTCAGACCTATCTGATTAGCCTCTACCCCATCCTAGCTGATGAAGAACGTGCCTGAAGAAGTAAAACATAGATGTCGTACTCCAAAACTTACATAGATTTCATCCTCCAAAAGAAAATGTTGATTTTGTGAGTTTGATCCCAGTTGACAGCTTTTTCACAGGACACTCATCATAGCAGCCAACTTTCAGGAACCTTTCATCGCACAGGGGAAGCGATGTGGGAAAAAGGCTGCTCTGCTGATTGTCTTAATTTCCCCAAAATACCATTGAGATAGGCACATACCATCGGGAAGGTACGGGGATTTGCAAACATCCCTTCGAATTATAATTATAATGAATTGCATAAAATACAACATTTTATAGAGTACAAGTTGAATCTACATTTCATAAAAAAACAAACAACAAAAACATTTTACATTCTATTATGCTCTGTCAGAAAATATTATATCATATTCAACTATATGGTATTATATATATACATATTAGATTATCAAAGGAAGTTTAGGGGGAGAAACTTCCGTGTTACGGACTTTTAGAATGTCAGGGAAAGAGTTAGTCAAAGAAAGAGTTAGTCAAAGAAACAGTTAGTCAGGGAAAGAGTTAGTCAAAGAAAGAGTTAGCAAAGAAAGAGTTCGTCAGGGAAAGAGTTAGTCAAAGAAAGAGTTAGTCAAAGAAACAGTTAGTGAGGGAAAGAGTTAGTCAAAGAAAGAGTTAGTGAGGGAAAGAGTTAGTCAAAGAAAGAGTTAGCAAAGAAACTGTTAGTCAGGGAAAGTGTTAGTCAAAGAAAGATTTAGTGAGGGAAAGAGTTAGTCACAGAAAGAGTTAGCAAAGAAAGAGTTCGTCAGGGAAAGAGTTAGTCAAAGAAAGAGTTAGTCAAAGAAACAGTTAGTCAGGGAAAGAGTTAGTCAAAGAAAGAGTTAGTGAGGGAAAGAGTTAGTCACAGAAAGAGTTAGCAAAGAAAGAGTTCGTCAGGGAAAGAGTTAGTTAAAGAAAGAGTTAGTCAAAGAAACAGTTAGTCAGGGAAAGAGTTAGTCAAAGAAAGAGTTAGTCAGGATATATGAGGTAGTCAAAGAAAGAGTTAGCCAAAGAAAGAGTTAGTCAGGATATATGAGGTAGTCAAAGAAAGAGTTAGCAAAGAAAGAGTTAGTCAAAGAAAGAGCAAAGAAAGAGTTAGCAAAGAAAGAGTTCGTTAGGGAACGAGTTAGTCAAAGAAATTGTTCCCGCAAGGCCCGCAATGTAAATGGGATTGCAAGTGGTGCTGGTGGATGAGTTGCCGATGGAGTTTTGAAGGAAGTCTCGCACGAAATGCGTTTTTGAGAGATAGCAGATGCACGAAACCCTATGTTTTTCCATACAAAGTCCGTCCCCGAACCTCGATGATCTACCTCTGCGGTGCGACGGGGGCGAGACGGTCTCGTGTGTGGTCGGATCATGGTCGGATATGCTCGGATCATGGTCGGATCATGGTCGGATCGGTTCCGCATTGTAAATGGGGTTTCAAGTGTTTTTCGTGCACGTGCGGTCGACAGAATTCCATTGTGATTTGCAACTGTAGGATCGTTCCCGCAATGTAAATGGGGTTGCAAGTGGTGCTTGTGGATGAGTTGCCGATGGAATTCCATTGTGATTTGCAACTCTAGGATCGTTCCCTCACTGTAAATGGGATTGCAAGTGGTGCTGGTGGAGGAGTTGCCGATGGAGTTTTGGAGGAAGTCTCGCACGAAATGCGTTTTTGAGAGATAGCAGATGCACGAAACCCTATGTTTTCCCATACAAAGTCCGTCCCCGAACCTCGATGATCTACCTCTGCGGTGCGACGGGTGCGAGACGGTCTCGTGTGTGGTCGGATCATGGGCGGATATGCTCGGATCATGGTCGGATCGGTTCCGCATTGTAAATGGGGTTTCAACTGTTTTTCGTGCATGTGTGGTCGACAGAATTCCATTGTGATTTGCAACTGTAGGATCGTTCCCGCATTGTAAATGGGGTTGCAAGTGGTGCTGGTGGATGAGTTGCTGATGGAAGTCCATTGTGATTTGCAACTCTAGGATCGTTCCCGCACTGTAAATGGGATTGCAAGTGGTGCTGGTGGATGAGTTGCCGATGGAGTTTTGAAGGAAGTCTCGCACGAAATGCGTTTTTGAGAGATAGCAGATGCACGAAAGCCTATGTTTTTCCATACAAAGTTCGTCCCCGAACCTCGATGATCTACCTCTGCGGTGCGACGGGTGCGAGACGGTCTCGTGTGTGGTCGGATCATGGTCGGATCATGGTCGGATCGGTTCCGCATTGTAAATGGGGTTTCAACTGTTTTTTGTGCATGTGTGGTCGACAGAATTCCATTGTGATTTGCAACTGTAGGATCGTTCCCGCATTGTAAATGGGGTTGCAAGTGGTGCTGGTGGATGAGTTGCCGATGGAATTCCATGTGATTTGCAACTCTAGGATCGTTCCCTCACTGTAAATGGCATTGCAAGTGGTGCTGGTGGAGGAGTTGCCGATGGAGTTTTGGAGGAAGTCTCGCACGAAATGCGTTTTTGAGAGATAGGAGATGAACGAAACCCTATGTTTTTCCATACAAAGTCCGTCCCCGAACCTCGATGATCTACCTCTGCGGTGCGACGGTTGCGAGACGGTCTCGTGTGTGGTCGGATATCTTCGGATTATTCTCGGATCATTCTCGGATCGGTTCCGCATTGTAAATGGGGTTTCAACTGCTTTTCGTGCATGTGTGGTCGACAGAATTCCATTGTGATTTGCACCTGTAGGATCGTTCCCGCATTGTAAATGGGGTTGCAAGTGGTGCTGGTGGATGAGTTGCCGATGCAGTTGTGAAGGAAGTCTCGCACGAAATGCGTTTTTGAGAGATAGCAGATGCACGAAACCCTGTGTTTTTCCAGACAAAGTGCGTCCCCGAACCTCGATGATCTACCTCTGCAGTGCGACGGGTGCGAGACGGTCTCGTGCGTGGTCGGATCATGGTCGGATATGCTCGGATCATGGTCGGATCGGTTCCGCATTGTAAATGGGGTTTCAACTGTTTTTCGTGCATGTGTGGTCGACAGAATTCCATTGTGATTTGCAACTGTAGGATCGTTCCCGCATTGTAAATGGGCTTGCAAGTGGTGCTGGTGGATGAGTTGCCGATGGAATTCCATTGTGATTTGCAACTCTAGGATCGTTCCCTCAATGTAAATGGGATTGCAAGTGTTGCTGGTGGATGAGTTGCCGATGGAATTCCATTGTGCTTTGCAACTGTAGGATCGTTCCCGCAGTGTAAATGGTTGCGTCAAGGTTGCTTTTTGCTGTGGCTGCATTGGTAATACTATTGTCTTTTGCAGCTGGACTTCGTAAATCGTATTGGAGTGGCTGCATGAAGGCTGCGACAATGATTTGTTAGCAGATTTTCTCCATTTTGGCGCTAGTGAATTTCCTTCTAAAAATCCTTTTAAAAAGTGCTTCAAAATCGTCTTTTTTTCGCTCTGGCGTCGAGATCCGGTTTTGGAGCTACAATTTCCGACGCCGTTGTGCGTAGTTCTATTGTGTTTTGCAACTCAGCCTCTGCAGATCCTATTGCAATGGCTGCGTCAAGGTTGCTTCGTGCTGTGGCTGCATTGGTAATACTATTGTCTTTTGCAGCTGGATCTCCTAAATCGTATTGGAGTGGCTGCATGAAGGCTGCCACAGTGATTTGTCAGCAGATTTTCTTCATTTTGGCGCTAATGAATTTCCTTCTAAAAATCCTTTTAGAAAGTGCTTCAAAATCGTCTTTTTTTCGCTCTGGCGTCGAGATCCGGTTTTGGAGCTACAATTTCCGACGCCGTTGTGCGTAGTTCTATTGTGTTTCGCAACTCAGTCTCTGCAGATCGCATTGTAATGGCTGCGTCAAGGTTGCTTCGTGCTGTGGCTGCATTGGTAATACTATTGTCTTTTGCAGCTGGATCTCGTAAATCGTATTGGAGTGGCTGCATGAAGGCTGCGACAGTGATTTGTTAGCAGATTTTCTCCAGGCGTCGAGATCCGGTTTTGGAGCTACAATTTCCGACGCCGTTGTGCGTAGTTCTATTGTGTTTTGCAACTCAGTCTCTGCAGATCGCATTGTAATGGCTGTGTCAAGGTTGCTTCGTGCCGTGGCTGCATTCGTAATACTATTGTCTTTTGCAGCTCGACTTCGTAAATCGTATTGGAGTGGCTGCATGAAGGCTGCCACAGTGATTTGTCAGCAGATTTTCTCCATTTTGGCGCTAGTGATTTTCCTTCTAAAAATCCTTTTAGAAAGTGCTTCAAAATCGTCTTTTTTTCGCTCTGGCGTCGAGATCCGGTTTTGGAGCTACAATTTCCGACGCCGTTGCGCGTAGTTCTATTGTGGTTTGCAACTCAGTCTCTGCAGATCCTATTGCAATGGCTGCGTCAAAGTTGCTTCGTGCTGTGGCTGCATTTGTAATACTATTGTCTTTTGCAGCTGGATCTCGTAAATCGTCTTGGACTGGCTGCATGAAGGCTGCGAAATGGATTTGTTAGCAGATTTTCTCCATTTTGGCGCTAGTGTTTTTTGTTGCACGTAGGATTAGAGCAGTGTGAAGTGTGGGGCGTGAAGAGTGCAGTGTGAAGTGTGCAGTGTGAAGGAAGCAGTGGGAAGTGAGAAGTGTGAAGTGTGGAGTGTGAAGTTTAAGTTTGGAGTGCGAAGCGCGCAGTGTGAAGTGTGAGGTTTGGAGTGTGAAGGAAGCAGTGGGAAGTGTGAAGTGTGAAGTGCGAAGTGTGAAGTGTGGAGTGTGAAGTTTCAAGTTCGGAGTGCGAAGAGTGCAGTGTGAAGTGTGGAGTGTGAAGACTTTGCTTCGTCTCTCGCTGAAAAAATCAAACGGTTGTCGAGGGAAGGACACGGTCGGGACAGGTTGTCTTTGAACTATAGGTCATTTATGTTTGGGAAACTTCCGCCGCCGGCTTGCCCGGGTCTATGTTATTTCATTATATTATACTGTTAGTGATACTATATTATCTGTTGTTTACAGCGTATTACATCATTTTACAATACTTTATATTATACTATTTTATTTCATGTACATTATATAATGCTACATGCGTATTTAACCGACCCCTCCACTAAAGGTGGGCACCTCAGTGAGCTCCATCGCACTCCCCAAATCGCAGATCTTCACCTCAGCTCTCGGTCTCAGTCATGAAAGGCATGGCAACTATAGTAACGAACTGGAAGTGTCCTAAAATGAAGACCATAGCTATACCATACTAAATTTGAAGTGTCTTCAACTATAGTAAAATGACCTCTGTGGTAGTTGAAGACCAAAAAAAATTGGGGCGTTCAGTCATGGTGGATCCCCAGTCGTCGTCACCATGGGCTAATCTATACTAAGTCATGGTCATCCATGACGACTGGATGATTTGGACTACCCCTATTCTAGGAAATCCCAAAATATAGGCATTAATGGATTGTAGCAACTATACTATACTAATACTATTCTCGGGTAATTCGACATAGTTATGCATAGCTATGGATAGTCACCATTCTTAGTAACTTAGTAGGTAATTCATCTATAAACGGTTCATTGTTAAGCTATGTTAGATGACCAGAGGGTAATTGCATAGTTACAAACATATTTCCAAAGGTCAAAAATGATATAGAATATATATACATGAATATACACTCATACTAATACTGTTGGTGAAACCATTAATGGTTGAAACAACTATAGCATTATAAGCATGAATCTGGATAAATTATCATATTTCACTAGTCTGAATTAAGGCCATTTGGGGATGATTTCCCTTACTAACCATGATTCCAGGGTTCGGGAGAACAGTGAGTTCATGGGGATGCAAAAGGTCAGCACCAGGCGGTTAGTTGGTGACCAACTAAGGATGGTGCCATGGCTGACCCCAAGATGCGTCCGGAGTATCTGATTGATCTGTCCAAGCAAATTGAGATTTGACCAACAAGACTTGATTTATCTGCAACATGGAGATTTTCACCAACACGAGGATCTTTTTTTTGGAATATTCTGGAGTTCCCCGTGTAACACTGGTGAACTGGCCCTGGGATTCAACTTTTAGCCACAAAACCTCATCACAAGATCCCTTGAATTTGCTGCAAATATGATCTAGCCAATCCCAGTGTTGTGGGATGATAAATCTACGGCACTCTTATCCTAAAATCGGGGGAATTCACCATTGATGCGCATTGCCTCATAATGTCGTTTTTGGGCCTCCCAACAACATTGTGGCCAGCACTGATCAAAATGTTGTCCGGCTTGATGTCAGCGTGGATAATTCCACACCTGCTTTGGAGAAGGTGTCCAACTCGACTTGGTCCACGAAAGTTCCCCCAGCGGAAGCCGTTACCGCCAGTTGAAAGCCTTTGGAACACCCTGAGGTTTAGCAAAAACATTGGGGAAATTGTTGCTGAAAACCTTCACATCATGGGTTTAGAGGTGGCTACCACCCAGTTGGTCACCCTCATAACCAGCTGAAACTCGCAACAGCAAGGGTTTTCGAACCTTCACATCTGGAGAGAAGTGAAAATTTTCCAAAGTTATGATGTTTGCCCTGTTTTCAGCACCATCCAATTGTTTGGGTACCCTCTCATTATAGAAAGTTTCTAGAAAAACGCCATGTTGATAGAATGATCTGAAAATGTATAGGCCATATAGGCCGGTGGGGCCGTCAACCAGAATCCTGCGGGGTCATCTTCTCCGATACTTCCAATGATAGACGTTATTTGGGCCTCTCTCAAAATCTTCAAAATCCGGAAGCCAATTTTAGAAGAATGACAATGGGGAAAATCGTGCCAAAAAAAAACTAATCATGAACATTGGAAAATCATATTTCACCATCAAAAGAAGGCCATGCCATTCTTCGGTGCCCCATTCCCATCACAACGTTATGGTCGGGGCTAAGGAACTTGTGCAAATGTCGCAGGGCAATGAGCAGCTGCCGCGTATACCTCGCACCAGGTGTCCCAGCAGACTAAATCCACTACCAACAAAATGTAGCAAACCCACCAAAAAAGTGTGAAGCAAACAATCATGTATCCCATGACTTACCATTCTGAGGGGTTGTTCTTGGGTCGGAACACGCAAAACTCGGCATGGACGATAAGTTGACATGGCAATGGAAAATCCACCACACATCTATCCATTCAAGCCGTGAACATGTGGAGATGAGCTCATGTCCTCAAATTTAAAGTCCAGGATGACCCTTTTGATTTTCCAAGAAATGGATTTTGGCAATTTTGGGTGTCCGTTTATCAAATTTCTGGAGGGCAGAATTGCGGAAACCCGGCAATTCATATGAACTGGAACAGAATCATGCCGCAGATCTGACTGGCTCTTGCTGGTGCAACCTTTGGAATGACAGGGAAAATTCACAGGGAATTGTTTCCCATCCTCTGAGCTTCAGACGCTCGAACTGCTTGCAAAGACATGCCTTTGTCTTTCGTGTACCTGGAAGAGTTGCTACCCAACTTTAGGTGAACAAAAAAAGAAATCCAGAATGCTTCAGGTGTTTTTTGTTTCGTCAATTTTGAGCCTTACAATTGTTCCATGTTGTAGCCCCATTTTTTTCAAGCAAGGCATGGCTACAAAATGGCCCTTGGCTTCAGTGTTTCAGTACTAAAACAAGGTCACGCCGCCTGTAATGGCCCTGCTGCTTTTTCACCTCTTCATTCGCTGATTTTTGTGTGTCGCGTGACCCTCACAGCTTTTTCTTGGTCTGCCCATTTGTTGAGTAGTTAATTTTCGTCTGCGTTTTACAGTGTTTTGTGTGTGTGTGTGTTAAGTCGTATTTTCAATGCATTTAATCATGAATTTGAATTCCTAAACGCAAAAAAAACTGGAATGTTTCGTAACAAGCGTGTAGACATACGACATGCGACATGGAGAACAGCTCAGGCAGTCCAAGTCTTGTGCGCTAACTTTCCTAAGTCTTTGAGCTGGTGCTTTCCAAGTGTATTGGATCGCCAGACAAAACTGCACACATACTCGGCAATTTTTTCATTCAGCAGTCCATTGGGCGTCTTAGAACACAATTCTTTTGGGATATACCGTTTCAAGGCTGACCATTCCTTGTCAATGCACTGCGTGCCATGCGTCTTGTGTCCGCGTTTACGCGTTTTACGCGTAAATTCCATTTTGACAGGACTGACCTGAAAACATTTTCGGCCCAAGGACTTACTTGAACGTAGAAACAAAAGAGACAGGTTGCAGCGTAGCATCAAGAGCGTCTGGCAAGTGACAAGAGACATGTTGCAGCGTAGCATCAAGAGCGTCTGGCAAGTGACAAGAGACATGTTGCAGCGTAGCATCAAGAGCGTCTTGCAAGTGACAAGAGACATGTTGCAGCATAGCATCAAGAGCCGCTGGCAAGTGACAAGAGCGTAGCATACCCCACCCACCCCACCCGGTTCCCCGAAAAAATCACACTATCCTTCGTGCACAAGTTCTAACTAACGGGCAATACTTCTAACTAACGGGCAATACTTCTAACTGACGGGCAATACTTCTAACTAACGGGCTTCTAACTGACGTGCAATACTTCTAACTAACGGGCAATACTTCAAAACTGACGTGCAATACTTCTAACTAACGGGCAATACTTCTAACTGACGTGCAATACTTCTAACTAACGGGCAAAGCGACACCAAAAAACTTGAAGTGACGTGAACAAGCCTGACAGGCAAAGCAAAAAGTGTCATATTCCCCAGGGCCGGTAGGGGCGTCGTGAGCTAAAACAACCATTTTGGGCTCACTCCATAACTAGTTGTGTAGGGTGATGCCCACGTTCTTGTTGGTAACGACCTCTGTTTGCTCCTTAAAACCCTCGTGAGTTGTTTGTTCAATTCTCAGGTTTTGGCCATTTGTACTACACATCCATTGTCGAACTGGGAATATCTTAATAATCAAATTCCCAAAAAAACAAACACGCTACGTCACGTCACGTCACGTCATGTCATGTCATGTCATGCAATGCAATGTAATGTCAGTATCTATATCTCTATATATCTAATCAAAAATCTAATCAGATCCAATTAGATGTCATCTCATTTGATCTCATCTCACTATCTCACTATCTATGTAGGATATGTAGACCCAAAATGTAGGATCCAAAATGAACACATCGAGTCCCACCCCGGTGCACTTCTTGAGGGCTACTCTGAGGTTATCCCACATGCACCTCAGCACAGCCCAAGCTGTCGTCCAGGTTCAGTGGAGATGTACGTGTATATGTAAATGTGTAAGCATAGGTATAGGCTAAGCTTATCTATATCTATATGTATATGTCTATATGTATATATCTGTGTATGTATATATATATATGCATGCATGCATGCATGCATGCATGCATACATACATACATACATACATACATACATACATACATACATACATATGTGCATGTGTATATATATATGTGCATATGTACGTACGTACGTGGATGTATGGATGTATGGATGTATGGATGTATGGATGTATGGATGCATGGATGCATGGATGTATGGATGTATGGATGTATGGATGGATGTCTGTCTGTCTGTATGTAGGTAGGTAGGTAGGTAGGTATGTAGGTATGTAGGTATGTAGGTATGTAGGTATGTAGGTATGTAGGTATGTAGGTATGTATGTATGGATGTATGCATGTATGCATGTATGCATGTATGCATGTATGCATATGTGTATATATTTATGTATCTATATATTTATGTATCTATATATTTATGTATGTATCTATGTGTATATATATATGTACATTTACATTGACAAAAGACGAGCAAGAGAAATAAAGAAAAGAAAAATCTTGACCGTATAAACACATACTCAATTATATATACTTATTTATATATATACTACTGTATATACATATATTATATATATATTATATTACATATATATATATATTATATTATATTATATTATATTATATTATATATATATCATATTACATATATATATATACCTGTGCGTGTTTATTTACATGCGCAATAAAACTACATTGTTCGCGACCCCCAAACGAACGTATGGTTTCAAGTACATCCATGAGGATCAAAATTGAAATTTTTTCTGACGCGAAACAACGACTTTCATGTTTCAGGGTGTGACAATTCATATATTGAAAATCAACCAGACTTCTGCACTTTGCTTTATTTGTGCCAAGACTCTTGCATGTCACCTTTTCTCATCAATTGCGGTTGTGCGCACGCAGATGGTTCCCAGAAGTTTTTTCGAGATGTATTGCCCACAGCTATATAACCACCCGTCCTGTAACCCGAAAGACCAGGAAAAAATGATGGAATGAACATTGGCAACCTGGGTTCCAGCAACATGCGTATCTCTGTGAGCTTTCTTATAATGTACACATTTCGTGTCCATCTCACCCGGTGCAAGAATAGTCGGGAGAGGTGCTATAACTTATCATCCAATACCGGATACCTCAAAACTGTCTGTCTGCTTTTCGAAACGAAATCAACCCCAACACAAAAGCCATAAACCTATTATGTGTTTAAAAAAACAAAAAAATATCCCCATAATATCCAACTAAAAAAAGGTGTAACGAAAAATCATCAGCCTGGAATTCTCCTGGATGCAACGAATAATCGTCTCTTTCTAGGCGTCCGTGCTCGAAGACCAGGCACAAATGCCCACGGTACATGAAGTGTCGATGTAATCGAATTACATGCCTTGCCATTCTGGGACTTACAGCTCAGTCGCTAAACAAAAAGCGGAAAAAGAGTGGAAATCACATGAAACATCTGGAAGCATCATGAAACTCACCATTCAAAAAAGGGCGTTGGAGGTGTCAAATCTTTGGGGAAACAAACTAACAAATGGATCTGTAACTTGAATAGAAAACAACACAATGCCAAGAAAAGTCAGATAATCAGATATCATATCATTAATATCATCGCATTATGTACATGCCTTCCAGTCAGCAATTCTTTCCCCAAGACTTTCAGCAGAAAAACCTGCTGAACCCACCCGATTGTGCCCTTTATTCGCTGCGCCTTTTATTCTGCTTGTCAGCTTTATTCACTCTCTCGAGGATTTCAACCTCTTTCTCGGCCGCCTTTCATGAAAGTTGTGCAGATCTCAGAGGTGGGGACATCATACATCACAACATGTCTCTGTACGTGTCTATATATATAATATGTGTATATATAGGCTCGTCCCTGCTCCTGGAACCACATACGATGGGGTGGGGGGGTGGGGTGGGATGTTAACGTTCATGTGAATTAACGTGGGATGTTAACGTTCATGTGAATTAACGTTCATGTGAACTTGCAGAAGCAGTTGATGCTACGCACACGCGGGATGGGGGGGGATGGGGTGGGATGTTAACGTTCATGTGAACTTGCAGAAGCAGTTGATGCTACGCTCACGAGGACTCGGACAATATATATATATATATATTTATTTGAATATATTTACAGAATTCTTCAGATATCTATATATATATTCATCATTTTTTCAATATATATATTTATATAGTTGAACTTACATATGTGTATGATGATGATGATGATGATGACGACCCTAATGAAACTTGTCAATTCCGCGACTAAACTTTGTCACGGAATTAACAAGTTTTACCAACCTAATTCAGGTTTGCGCGGTTCCAAGAGCAGGGACGAGGCTATATATACATATATACATACAAACATATATATATACACAAATATATATATATACAATTATATATATGTATATATACAAATATATATGCATATATACAAATAATATATATACATATGTATATATACACATATTCTAGACATATACCATCTTACATATGTATTTGTTTGTGGTATACCCATATGTATGCTAACTTTTCTGCAGGTGCAACGCAACTTTGATGGATGACCTTGCGCTTTCACGCTTCCCATCAACATTCAATGTCATCAAGCATGGCTTGCTGGGAAATCCCTCATAGTTCGATGAAAGTGCGGGGATTTCCCAGTGATTCTGTTCAACAAAACACCATTGATGGTGAAGAAAATATGTCTTCCCAACCGTTGACTTTTTGAAGGCTCCCCGAAAAAGCCAGACATCATATTGGCTGGATCCTCACTACAACCATAGTAAACCACAACTCCACAACCATATCCATACTATAGCCGCCACATTGTAATGGTTGAAACGCCATGTTCAGACAATGCCTGTGTCGTTGTGCCCGCTGTGCCCGCTGTGCCCGCTGTGCCTTCTTCATCATATCGTTTGCGCGCATGACTTTGATGGCGACCATTCCACCATCAATCTGGCCAGATTCTTGTTTCGAACTATAGAATCCCATAGCATCAAAATACCATTGCATGCTCATGTCGTTCAATATCATGGAATACTCAAGATCTATGCTCAACCCATTGTCATTTTGAGATTCCAATTTTTTGGACTGTCCAATGGTTGAACGGGAACCCCGTTTATATAAGCTACTTGGATGGATTTTGACGGGCTGCATCCTGCACCAGGATCACCAACTCAGGGGAGTGGAAGACCACTCTCTCGGAGACGCTTTTAAAAGAGTGTCATCAAGGGGAGCTGCCTAGAATTGCGAGGCGTAAATCCCACGACAAAACCATATCATATTGTTGGTTACACATCCTATGTCTGAATCCCATCATATTTCGCTTAAAATTGCCACAGGCTAGATGCAAATCCATCATTTTCTGCTTGAAATGTGACTGCCATTTGCCTGCGCCCGCCTTATCCTTGGCCTTGCAGACATTGGAGAAGACGCCTTTTCCAACGAAATCCTGGTCGTAGGATCTTTTGCAGTTGTATCTGTATTCCTATGTATCTATATATATATATACACACACATAACATAACATTACATTACATAACATTACATGACATGACATTACATTACATGACATTACATACATACATACATAACATAACATAACATACCATACCATACCATACCATACCTACATTACATACATACAGCTATATACATATGACATATACTGTATACCATATAGATGCACATGTACACATCTACACACGGTGGGATCCACAGGATGTACACATCTACATATAGTATGTACATAGACTGCTTTTCAGAGATATATTCATATACACAGAGATTCGGACACCATAGCATGGTTTCTTCACCGCCAAATGCGTTTTTGAACAAAAATCCGCCCGCACCGAAGGTGCCGAGGCGTTTTTTGTGTGCCTGCGTGAACCGTTAGCAATTGCATTATAGCTAATAAGCTTTAGCTTGGGGGGGAGGCATTTTTGCTCTAGAATCCTGTGTTTTTGCATGTTTTTCAAAAGGGGTCAAAATTCTTGATCTGGGCCAATATAGGCCAAAAATGGGTCAAGATAGGCCCAACATAGGCCCAACATGAGCCTAAGGTAGGCTCACATGGGGCCAACATAGCCTCAAATGGGGCCAACATACCCTCATATGGGGCCAAGATAGCCTCATACGGAGCTAAAAAGTGCCCAATACGTGCTAAAAAAACGTTCATTCCCGAATCCATTACACTTGGTGCGGGCGGTTTTCGTCGCGAAGCAACCGTGAATATGGTGCTACAATGCTACAACTGGATGAATTGGGTGTGTCGAAATCAAGGCCTTGAGGCCAAAGACTTATTTGCTCCAAATGAAACAGCTGGGCATGGCTATGGTACTGCCCACGTGCCGGTCTAGTGTGGCACTATCCACCCAACAAAAAAAAAAATGTCGGTTGTTTTCAGCCTGAAACTTGGAAGTGTGTATGAGTTTGTCTCCAAATGGGGGTGCCTCCAATATCCTCCAATCCCAATGGATTCGCAAATCATGTTTCCCATCATTTCCAACCAAAATGTCCATAATTAAGGAACGCTCCTATGTTCAAACCCAAAAGAATCTCTAAGTTCTTGAACCTTTGAGTCCTAAAACATTCAACCTACATCGGCCTCTAATTATCCATTATAACATATCTAAGAATCTATTGTACAATCATAAATATATATATACATACATATTAGTGTATGTATATTATACAGTAATATATATAATATAATATAATATAATATAATATAATATAGTATAATATTAATATAATATTAATATAATATAACATAATATAATATAATATAATATAATATAATTTAATAAAATATGAAATAATATAATATAGTATAATATGATATGATATAATATGATATAATATAAATAATAATATAATATATAGGATAAATAACAAAAAAAACTTAAGAGTTCCGCCATTTTGGTATCTCAAAAAGCCACATCCAAGCCATCGAAGTGACTTCGACGACGACTCGACCTCTGTGACTTCGTATCTCTCGCCCATGACCTCGCCGATCTTCGCCTTGTAGTACCTATAAAGCTGGGCCATGGCGGCCATGGCGATGTTGGACCCTTTAAAAAAAAGAAAAATGCTGGAATTTGATGTGATTTAATCAAGAAGAAACTGGGATTTTATGGGATATAGAAATAGAATCAATAAGATGATTCATGTAGCATGGTGCTACCAACTAACATGTGGAAATTGACCACCAAAATTGGCAATGTTTATCGGAAAATCATGGGACGGGAGGATTTTGCTTAACAAAAAAATGAGGATAGAAGATACCAAGTATGATTAATCACTGAAGTGGTGTCATGTTTCGGGATATATATGGTGGAATATGTGTTCTTATCAACAATTTGATTCATCGGAGAGGTTCACCAACACAAATGATGGATTCACCCCAACTTATAACCGTTCTAGTTGGACAACGACCAGAAATCAAGGTTTGTTACCAACAACAATTGGGTACAAAAAGAAATCAGGCCATGGCGATGTAAAGGGATTGGGATCTAACCTCAATCATATCATATGGGTGTGTCCAAAAATTGAAGACATGCACTGCACCCAAAAATACGGCCAGTAAAAGAAGTGGTCTTTTGAAATAGCAAAACAAGGAGGTTGGGCTGACCCTACTTTGGACAGAGCCATGTCGATCCTGGATCCCAACAAAGATGCAGTTTGCCAGCTCGATGATGACGGGAAGTTTGAATTTTCAGAAACAAATGCAGGGGTTTTATCAACCAAAGATGAAGTTTGTGTACGATGTACTGTAGATTCTCACCAGTAAAAAGGGATTTAGATATTTTTTCTACTCAAAGATGGAAGTGGGGAATGACTCGGAATGACCCTCATCAGTGATAGTCAAGTACCCTATCATTAGGTATTTGGTTACTTAATGGGGATGGGTCAAAACCTTGTACCCCTGTAGTTCACCCCAAGTCATAGCTGGGATTTATGGATGTTCATCCCACTAAAATGTATCTATAGTTACCCTCTGGTAATTTAACATAGCTATGGAAAATCACAATTTATAGTGGATTTTCCCATTAAAAATGGTGATTTTCCATGGCTATGTTAAATAACCAGAGGGTACTTAGTAACTTCAATGATTGGAAACTTCGTAACGGCAAGGACCGGCCTAGCCTGGCTAAAAAACGCGGCCCTCCGTCCCGGCACACCCCTCCGTGTCATCCCAGTCATCCGCAGAGGCTCCCGTCCTGACGCGGTGACCCGAAACCCCGAAAGGTGTGCCATGGTTCCACAGCAATTCTTCGGATGCAAGATCCGCAAGGATTGAACCTCTGTTTGCAAAATCATGGTGGTGAAAGTTAGTCTGTGAATCAGACAATCAGCGGGCTCGGCAACTTCCCAAGCTTGAGGCTATGTATCCCAGCAGATTTTTTGCTGATCAAATTAGAAAATCACCTTTTTTGCCAACGTTCATAGGATGGCAGGCAGATCAAAAAGTGAATGGGGAGGCTGAACAATGTGGTAGCATGTGGTAGCCATGAAACCAGGCCATCCAGTTTGGTGCATTTTTGGGGAACCTTCCTCAAATCTCAACAAAAAAAACAAGTCAGATGCACTCGAAGGCTAAAAGGCATCATTTCAGGATTAGGATAGATATAATATGTGTATATGTATATATATATATAATATCGTTGTGTCTGTTACGTATTTCATTTACCACACCACCAGACGACCCTCTTTCCTTGGGCAACTCCAGACCACGCCAATGCGCGGAAAACGCTTGCTTGGTACAGAAATGAAAGAGATTGGTTTCGCATGGGAGTCGTTGCAAAACTGGTTGTGTCTGAGCTCAAGTTTCACCCAAAAAACATAGCAAGTTCTCATTGGAAAAACGATTTTCCCATAGGTTGGAATGGGGTAGCCCATTGTCAAACCCGCAACATGTTGGTGGTCTATCCCAATGATATCCCATGAATTCCCGGGTAAATTCTATGTATCCCCATACCAGGTTCCCCCGGCTGGCGAATGGCAGCGGCATTCGCTTGCCCACTGGCAGCTTGGCGGATGGCATCCTGGTTTGAAACTGGAAAAAACATGGAGTTCAAGGGATTTTCCAAGATTGTTGAATGACTTCAAGTGATTCCGCAGGAAATTTGAATGATTCCAATCGAGATTAGGTTGATATAGTTACTGATATACCATCTCCTAGCTAACATAGACCCACTAACCAGCGCCTCTCCCAAGAGGAAAGGAGTCTAAATCAACCCTCTACGTCATGGCAGGGTATGACTTGACCAATTTCTGGAGGTATCCTGTAAACTTTCAGTTCGGGCTGCCACAAGATCTTATTGTGTCCTCTCTACCTTAGCTTACCTGGAGACCGCCGGGCACCTGCCCACACCCAAACCATTCAAAAAGTGTGGGTTTTGTCGTAGTCTACTCAGAATCATGGTTGCCTATCTTTAAGTCAATAGTCTCATTGACAATATTTGGAAGGAAGAAAAAATACTGAATCAACAACAGCACTCAAAGAACCCAGCACTTGTATCAAAGTCAGCCCAAAATTGATAAACACAAACCAAAACGATATTTGGACGGTACTGCAGTTCGAAATTTAGCTTACTAGATTATATCATCTTCAATCAATACCTACATCTTTCAAGTAACATAATCAGCCAAAAACCAGGCCCTCATGAATCAAAAGCTCCTCATCAGCGGTCTCGTCGAACATATTGTCCTGCTCCGCCTCCGCTGTGTCCATCCAAACGGGCATACATTACATGCATCCATGATACGACGTGACGTCGCGTTGCATAGCATGACATTACATTGCATTACTTTAGTTTACTATCGTATTGCATTGCCTTGCGCTGCATTTCGTTGCGTTTCATTGCTTGGCATTACATGCATATACAGACGTGTATATTTACATAAGTATATATCTATATATCTATCTGTATATAAGTATATACTGTACATAAGTCTATACGTACACAAAGAGAGGGAAGGGAAGAGAGAGGGGGGAAGAGATGGATGGATGTATGGATGGACGGATGGACGGATGATCAGCAAACACGGGAACATCGCCACCAAACATATGCTTCGATCACCAATAATGGGAATATCACTGGCCAAAATGGGGTGTTCGTGGTTTGTAACCACGTCATGGAGACCCTACATGGGTCATAAATTAAGCTGCGGGGACCCACAAATTTCCTCGCCTTGCAGACTAAGTATCAACATGCAACACTGGTACGGCCCAGTGCAATGTTGTCATCATACACGAAGTAGTGGATGGGTCTAGATCAAAAACCCAAAAAAGTACATACAGTATGTTCATTCAAAAAAAAAGGTGATCCTATGGGGAATGATCCATTCCCAGCACGGCCCACCGGGTCACTAAATTGGGGCACCCACCTTTTTTGAGGCCATGATTCATTGATTCCCAAGTCCCGCTTGTAAGTGGGCTGTGCCCAGTACTTGGGTCAAGTGGAACCCACAAAAACCTAGGCCCGAACCACAGCAAACCGAACCACAGGTCAGGTCTGCTCAATTGTGTTTGGGACCTGAAACTCATGGGAAACCCTCAAAAAAACTATATATATAATGGTTGATTATCCTTGTCCCCATTGAACTATATAAGCATTTTGGGATATACCGTACCCAATTTTGCAGAAACGCCCAAGTCTGCTCGATTCTTGGTACGGAACCGTCCTAGTTTTGGACAGCTGTATGGGCTGGACCATTTGGAGTGCTTACATGTTGGAGGAAACCCGTTATCCGTTTGTGGAACATCCTCGATCTGTTGTAGAAAATCCACAATCCACTTCTCAAAATATGAATCTACAGACATATTATTCCTATACACAGGGGTTTGACCAACAAAAATGGATTGATGGTTGGATTTTCCACCTTTACCATTCACCTGTACCCACCCTATCGCAGAAAAATGCACCCGCCTTATGCTGCAGGATGAAGCGCTGAAGGTCCTTCTTCAACCTGGCGTCCGACGTACTGTTGAACGGCATAGTCGTGGTATGTTGTGTCAATGTCGCATGATAAAATGGATATTTACCCGTCTATAATTAGACAAATGTGCATATTTGTGTATGTAGGTCCGTCCGTCCGTCGGTAGGTAGGTAGGTACGTAAAAGGTAGGTAAGTGGGTAAGTGGGTAAACATACATTTTACACATATATATACATATATATATATTATATAACGTGTATATATATACACACCCAGACCGGGGATGCCGCCCAAAGATTTATCTTATCATGTCACCAACTCTTTAGGGTTTATATAGGGTTTGTATAGGCATAGGGTTTGTTTAGGGTTTGTTTGGGGGTTGTTTAAGGTTTGTTTAGGGTTTATCTAGGGTTTATCTAGGGTTTCATTTAGGGTTTTTAGGGTTTTTAGGGTTTTGGACCACAGTTTTAATAAGATTTTACTTCCAAGGCTTACTTCGGGTTTCATGTCAGTTTTAGGGTTTAGAATTTAGGGTGTAGACTTTTGTGTTTCGGAAACAAGTCTTCTCAGCCATTCCGCCATTCTGCCGACATCCCAAAATGCATAAAACGCCGGCCTTGCGCAGTCAAAACGCACTTCCCCGTGCCGCACCCCCGTCCTGACCGTATATATATGTATATATATATACATACATGAGTGTGTATGTATGTATGTATGTATTTATGTATGTCTGTCTGTCTGTCTGTATGTATGTATGTCTGTCTGTCTGTCTGTATGTATGTCTGTATCTATGTCTGTCTCTATGTATGTCTGTCTGTATGTATGTCTGTCTGTATGTCTATCTGTCTGTCCGTCCGTCCGTCTGTCTGTCTGTCTGTATATCTGTATGTCTGTCTGTCTGTATGTATGTATGTCTGTCTGTCTGTATGTACAGTATGTCTGTCTGTCTGTCTGTATGTCTGTCTGTCTGTCTGTATGTCTGTATGTCTGTCTGTCTGTATGTCTGTATGTATGTCTGTCTGTCTGTATGTCTGTCTGTCTGTATGTCTGTATGTATGTCTGTCCACCTGTCTGTCTGTATGTCTGTATGTCTGTCTGTATGTCTGTCTGTCTGTATGTCTGTCTGTCTGTCTGTCCGTCCGTCTGTCTGTCTGTCTGTATATCTGTATGTCTGTCTGTCTGTATGTATGTATGTCTGTCTGTCTGTATGTACAGTATGTCTGTCTGTCTGTCTGTATGTCTGTCTGTCTGTCTGTATGTCTGTATGTCTGTCTGTCTGTATGTCTGTATGTATGTCTGTCTGTCTGTATGTCTGTCTGTCTGTATGTCTGTATGTATGTCTGTCCACCTGTCTGTCTGTATGTCTGTATGTCTGTCTGTATGTCTGTCTGTCTGTATGTCTGTCTGTCTGTCTGTCCGTCCGTCCGTCTGTCTGTCTGTCTGTATATCTGTATGTCTGTCTGTCTGTATGTATGTATGTCTGTCTGTCTGTATGTACAGTATGTCTGTCTGTCTGTATGTCTGTCTGTCTGTCTGTATGTCTGTATGTATGTCTGTCTGTATGTATGTCTGTCTGTATGTCTGTGTCTCTGTATGTCTGTGTCTCTGTATGTCTGTATGTCTGTCTGTATGTATGTCTGTCTGTATGTCTGTATGTATGTCTGTATGTCTGTATGTCTGTCTGTCTGTATGTATGTCTGTCTGTCTGTCTCTCTGTCTGTATGTATGTCTGTATGTGTGTATGTCTGTATGTATGTCTGTATGTCTGTATGTCTGTCTGTCTGTCTCTCTGTCTGTCTGTATGTCTGTCTGTATGTATGTCTGTACGTATGTTTGTATGTATGTCTTTATTTATGTATGTATGTATCTATGTATCTATGTATCTATGTATCTATGTATCTATGTATCCATGTATCTATGTATCTATGTATCTATGTATCTATGTATCTATGTATCTATGTATCTATCTATGCATCTATCTATGCATCTATCTATGCATCTATCTATGCATCTATCTATGCATGTTGTATCTATGTATCTATGTATCTATGTATTTATGTCTCTATGCCTCTATGTCTCTATGTATCTATGTATCTGTGTATCTATGTATCTGTGTATGTATGTATCTGTCTACGTATCTATTTATGCATTTATCTATTAATATCTATCTATTAATATCTATCTATCTATCTATCTATCTATGTATCTATCTATCTATCTATCTATCTATCTATTTATCTATCTATCTCTCTCTATCTATCGATCTATCTATCTATGTATGCATGTATGTATGTATGTTTGTATGTATGTAATGTATGTAATGCATGTAATGTATGTAATGTATGTAATGTATGTAATGTATGTAATGTATGTAATGTATGTAATGTATGTAATGTATGTAATGTATGTAATGTATGTAATGTATGTAATGTATGTAATGTATGTAATGTATGTAATGTATGTAATGTATGTAATGTGCAAGAGTTGACGGTAGCTGCCAGCACGTATTGGGCTCCTTTTCTTCTTTCAGCGCTGAGCTGTTGCTAGGGATGGTCCTATGGCCTATCCCTTGAAGTTGAAAAAGGGCTGCAGGTGTATGGACATGCCATGTTATAGCAAATCCCAACACCCCGCCTCGACTGGAGTAGTCTCAACAGTCGACACATGGGATTTCTCCCAAGACCCGCTCGGCCAGTTGGCACAAGCCCTTTCACATGTTGGCCATGGCTAGTCAACCTTTGGTTGTAACCAGGCCTCTGTACAGAATTGGCATACTTGCCATTCTTGTACGGTCGTGGAGTTCTTCAGCGCACGACAATCTTTCCTCAAGCGAATTCTGGTTGAATCCTTTCCCTTGTAAAGGGTGAGTTTCATCTGGATCTTTTGGACTTGCTTCTTTCCACAGAGGTAGCACAGCCCCCAGATTCCGAACCACACAAGCACCAACAGGATCAAAAATCCTAAGGGCAATGACTCCATGGTCCAAATGCTCGTTGTGTGATCTGGCACTACAAGCTCAGTGCCTCGGATACCTGGCACTTGGCTGACCAACGTCGCCAATGCCAAAAGCTTCCCAATGGGAATTCCTTCCCAATTCGCTGGGTGACTTCCAGCAGTGATTGACCTGACTCCAACTGAGTCATTCAATGGTCCAATCCCCGCCATTTTGCACAACTCTTGGATCCTTTTCTTTTGAAGCACTTTGGTTCCGAGATCTGCTGGATGTTGTTGTCCTCGGATCCATCTCATCACCAACCGACCATCATAGACCAGGTCCTGAAGCCAAAGGACCTTGGTCTCGAGGTGGCGTATTTTGCCTACCCCAAGCCGATGGCTCACGGCATTGTTCGCTGAGCTGTCGGTGATTGTTTGAAGTCCAACCGTGTAGCCGAAAAAGGCTAAGACTTTCCTCAACAAGATACCTTCACTGACACCGCTTGCAGTAGCATACAGCTCTGCTTCAGCAGATGACTGTGCCACGACAGTCTGCCGTCTGGTGTAACTGTACAGCAGACAGTCACCCCAACACAGGTGGACTGCAGTTCTTGAACGTCTCGTCTGCTTGTCCCCTGCCCAGTCACTGTCAGTCCACACGGTGAGCTGATCCGTATCCTCCCAGGTGTTTGAGAAGAAAATTCCGAAATCTTTGGTTTTCAGAAGATATCGGACCAGGTGTTTTGCAGCCTCGAGGGCTTGCCTCGTTGGCTTAGCCATTGCACAGGCTAGTTCATTCACCGTGTACTGGACGTCTGGCCGATCGTTGGCCAGATACATCAAGATTCCTGTGATGGACCTGAACAAGGTCCCATCCTCCGGGCTCAATGGTTCTGCCTCTCGGATACTGCTCAAATCTTTGGTCTGTGGAGTGTCACGACCAGTGGATGACCAATGCAACCCCGTAAGCTCCAAGAGCTTTTTCAGGTGGGCATCCCCAGGAGTAATCCAGAGTCCATCATTCGTGATGACTCGTTTTCTTTTCAAGTGGACAAAACTGTCTCCTGGTTTGAATGGCCCTTCCAGGTTGATTGTCAGATGTTTCTTCAGTTCAGTCATGACCTCCCACGGAGCATTGCCTGGTCCCACGGCGTAGAAATCGTCGACGTGAACCTCAATGGCTACTCCCTTCGTGGGATGAAAGTACAGGTGTGGAACCTCCTTGCACCTCACAGTTTGGAGCTTCTCGCACATGACACGTGCAACCTTGTCTTCAAATTTCCTAGGTGCCGGACGCCTACCATAGAGTTGGCGTTCCAACTTCCAAACCCACTCATATCCATGGATTTCCTTCCACTCAACCGGTGGATCAACGTACACCTCTTCATCTTCTTCCGCATGGAAGAATGCACATGTGACATCACCAATCACAGCCGTGTACCCTGCAAGGTCGCAGCAAGCACAGAGCCTTGAGGTCCCTGTGTCTTGGGAACCTCCGGATCGATGGCTTCAACCGGAACTTCAGCTGGTCTCTTATCCCCACGCGGCGGACTGAGGACAGTCCGTTTTGACTGGGACTCTGAACCTTCTTCATGTGGTCTCACTGTTGGACCACTTCTGGGCGATGGTGGCGCGGTCAACGCCGTTTGGCGATCCCCGCCTTGCCCTTCAGCCACAGTTGGCAGTGGTCCTCCCCCACTGGAGGGTATCTCGACCTCTTGGTCTGCGACCTCTTCTTGTTCGGCTCCAGCAGGCGCCGGTTCAGTTGGCGCATAGCCAGAACTTGCTGCATCATCTTGCGGACTCATTGGAGCTTCCAGTTCTCCATCCTTTTCCGCCACGGTGGGCGCGGGGATGGCGAACTTCACTTGGATCTTCTCCCGTTTCTTCTTGGGAATGGCTCCTGCCGTCAGATCCCACGGCACTCCTTGCATTCCGACCAGCAACTCTTTGTCAGATCTTTGGTCCGGAAGCAAGCGCCGGATCGTGCGACAGCGGAAAACCCCTGCCGAACTGGCGATGAGGTGCTCGTCGCTTTCTTCTGCTCTTCCGAGCCAAATTCCCCGTTCCATCACCGCATCCATCTTTTGATGTCG